GAACGAACCGAACCAGTTATAACCGAACTAAAATAAAACTACACCAAAAAAGAACCGAACCGTTTCCAACCTGAAACTGTTTGAACCGGTATAATCACCATTTACACCGAACCATTAATAAACCGCAACCCGTTTGCACCAAACCGTTTACTACCGGGACTATTTACAACCCGTACCGTTTACAACCCGAACCGAATTTAAACCGAGTTAAAAACCGTTTACACCAAACCGTTAACAAACCGCAACCCGTCTGCATCGAACCGTTTACAACCCGGACTGTTTACATCCCGGACCATTTACAACCCGAACCAAATTTAAACCGGGTTAAAAACCGTTTACACCAAACCGTTAACAAACCGCAACCCGTCTGCACCGAACCGTTTACTACCCGGACCGTTTACAACCCGAACCGAATTTAAACCGGGTTAAAGACCGTTTACACCGAACCGTTAACAAACCGCAACCCGTTTGCACCGAACCGTTTACAAACCGAACCGTTTAGAACCCGAACCGAATTTAAACCGTTCAAGAATAAACCGAAACCGAACCGAACCGATAATTATTTAAACCGAACCGAAACCGACCCGTTAGACATTTAAACCAATTTCAAATCGACCCGATTTCAAACCGAACCGATTTCAAACCGAACCGAAACCGAACTGTCAAACCGTTTTGACAGTGCTATATATCCTAACTCTTAGTTAAAAAAAGAAAACATGTGGCCTCACAAAAAATAAAAAATAAAAAAATGTACCTAATTAAATTAAATGTATCTAGTCATATTTAATTGCTTACTCAAGTACTGTATTTACTTATAGAGTTACATCAATGTTATTAACCTTTCTCTCGTTTTCTCTAACATTCTCTTTTTCATAACTTTATTATAATCAATAACATTGAGACGGGATAGTTCTATCCCACCTATATCTTTACTGACTAATATAAGAAGCATAATGACTTTTGATTACCATACAATAATTATGAATTTGAACTTAAATATAATCTGATTACTTTGTAATTCTATTAAAGGTATCTTTACAGTTAAAAATAAAGACCACTCTTGGTCTGTAGTCCACAATATTATGAACAACCGTAATCTTGGAAAAGAAAAAAAAAAGGAAAAATAAAAAATGTGCATAACACTCGAATTCGAAGTTATAATATCATTACAGGCAAAAAAGACTAGTAATTGTTCTTCGGTAGGGACAACGATGACGACGAATGATTGATGAGCTAATGCATCGAACAACATCAAGAAACACATCCTCATCACAAGGGATCCACAATCTTAACATGGTGGGAGAGTCAACATGCTTGTCTCGTGCCAAATCAAGTAAAGCCACAAAACAAGGGTGTTTGAGCAACTCTATATTTATTATCACTCTTCATGTTATCTCCTATGTATACTACCATATGACCTCTATACTTAACTTTTTTTTTTATCTTCCTTTTTTGGCGGGCAGAAATAGCCTTTTGAACATGTAGTATTAAATTATAAATTAAGGTGGCTTATGACTACTTAAGAACAAACTAAGCTCAATTATTTAGGTGATGTTACCGATCTTTTTTTTATTAATACTAGTCTTTAATTCTCCATGCATGCTTCATTTAGCATCCAATAACATTTTCCCTGTTTTATTTGTCTTCACATGCTTTAATTTATTTAACATTCAGTAACTTCGGCCATTTTTTTTTTAATTTCCATTGAGCAAAGTTTACTTTACTACAGAACAAGTTAGGTAAAAAAATGGCACATGGGCTGGTTTACAAGTCATTAACTTTAACTCCCAAACTAAGGATTCCTGGATCTGGATTAAAGTTCTTTAAATCCGGCCTCTTCTAATTCACGGCCTTATTTGAAAACGAGAAAACGGTTCTTTGGGTTGATATTTAACTTAATTGGTATGCTGATACTAATGTCATAGCCTTGGTAGACTTGGACCTAGATCAAATCCCAAATCTTGATCTCATTGTAGATACCTTTATTACAGATGATAACTCTTGGGATCACTCTACTTCTCTTTGTCTTTCCGGCTGATCTGGATAAAAAAAAAAAAAAAATACGAGGCATTCCCTTACCTTCCTCTGTCATGGCTGATGAAGCTTATTAAGGTTTATCTTAAGATGGTCAATTTACGGTTAAATCTGCTACATGGTTAGTTCATAACCACTCCCCTATAGTTCTCCGAAGTGGGAATTTCATTAAATATGGAATTTGGATATTCCCCCTAAAATTCAGCTTTTTAATGGCAAATTCTCTATAATAGTCTTCCTACTCATCACACTTTTACTTCTAGGAGTATTAATGTTCATTGTCATTGTGCCTTCTATAACACCTGAAACCCAGGGTCATTTATTTTTGCATTGCCCTTTCTCTTTTCACCTTTGCTCTACCTCATTTAATTTGTTAGAAAATGGATTGGCATCCTTCCTCCTCCTTCTTTTTCCCTCCATGCTCTTTTATCTTCTCTTAAATTTCTATCTTAATGTCTGCTTCCCAAGTTTGTAATTATTTCATAAAGTATTTGAAAATGCAGAAATGTGACTGTTTTCAAAGCCTCAACCCTCTCTATCCATACAATTCTCTTCAGTGCTTTTTCTCTCTACCAAGAATGGCATGCTGGAAATTTTCTAGACTCGCTTCACCCCTCGTATACTAACTCTTCTCTTAATCCTCAGAACACCACATCTGATACGATCGTCTCATGGTCTTCTTCCCCAGTAGGGATTTCTTTTTTTGGTTTTTTTTTTTTTTTTTTTTTTGGTAAATCAGTGTAGAAATTTTACAGCTCAAAAAAACTTTTCACAGACAAGTCCCAATAGGGAGCAAACCACCAGGCTACAAACAGCCCAACAAACAAAATAAAGAAAAACCTATACAATGAGTTTTTCTATATTTTCTCTATCTACAATCTTTATCTTCTTAGAATTTACACCTAGAAGTCTGTTTCTCACCTCAAACTTTATACACTTTACAACTGTATCTATACATAGGACTTTCATATCCCAAAGAGCTACATTTCTAGCTCTCCAGATCTGATAGATGATTGCCAGAGCACATACTCTAAGCAGCCCTTTCTGGAAGCTTGAATGCTGATTTTTAATCTGCCTTAATAGCACTGTCAGGGTTCTAACATTGCATCTTGTATTCAACCAATGTAGGATCTGATCCCATATCTTCTTACTATATATAACTGCACTTGAAGGACAAATGATCACGTGACTCTGTCTCATCTCTACAAAGAAGGCAGTCTGTCAAAGTTCCCGCACCAAAACTATGTATTCTATCTCTGGTCATTAGTTTTCCCTGAATTGCCAGCCATGAGATAAACTTGTGTTTTGGAACAGCCCATCTTTCCCAGACAAATTTATCCCACCTGCATTTAGGGTAGCTAGGCCTTAAGACTTGAATGCTTATTAATCTTGTACCCTCCCTGCCCAAATTGACTAGCAGAGTAAAGATTCTTTAATTTCTCCTTTACTTCACACAGGTTTTTCCAATACCAACTTGCATCAGCCTGTGGCTTGTACTTAAACCAATCTTTCCCTTTCAAATATACACTGCTCACCCATTTGATCCATAGGTTCTCTTTCTTTTGTGCTATAGCCCAAACATGTTTGCCAAGAGCTGCAGTATTCCAGGTTTCATCATCTTGTATGCCTAATCTACCCTATGACTTTTTCTTGCACACATATCTCCAGGCCACATAACAAGCTTTGTGGTGCAGGCTTCCATGCCATAGAAAATTCCTACAGATGGCATTAATCTTCTCTAAAATGGCCTTAGGTAAGACCATGATTTGTGCCCAGTACACTTGGATGCTTAGAAGGACAGAATTTATCAGAGTTACTCTTGCTGCAAAAGAGAGATTTTTGGAGCTCTAAATCTTGATTCTAGAACACATTCTATCAACGAGATGTTCACACTAAACAACAGAAATCTTTTTTGAACAGATAGGGACACCCAACCTAAAAGGTAATCTACCTCTTGTGAAGCCTGTAGTCCGCAAAATTTCTTCTATTGTATAATCTTGTATACCAGCACAGTAAACTGATGTCTTCTCTGGGCTGGCTTGAATATCAGTAGCTTTAGGGAAGACTTGGAATCCCTTCATGAGTAGTTTTATAGATTTCAGATCTCCTTTAAAGCAAAGGATTAAATCATTTGCAAAACATAAGTGAGTGAGCCCTGCTGCCTTGCATCTGGGGTGAAACTTAAAATCAGTTTTGGAGCTGAATATTTTCAGAACCCGAGAAAGGTATTCAATGCATAGGACAAAAATTAAAGGAGAAAGAGGATCTCCTTGTCTTAATCCTCTCTTAGATTGAAAATAGCCATGTAGAGAGCCATTGATCATAAGAGAGAATCTTGGAGTTCTCACACACACTATAATGAGTTTTACAAAGTGCTCAGGGAAGTTGAGAGCCTGCATCATTTCCTCTATAAAGTCCCACTCCACAGTGTCATAAGCTTTCTTCAAGTCCAACTTGATGAGACAGCTAAGACTAGCACCAGAACGCCCATAATGTCACACTAAATCTTGACAAACCATGATATTGTGGACTATATATCTACTATGAACAAATGCACTTTGATTCTCAGCAATGAGATGAGGCAACACTTGTTTCAACCTATCACATAAGACTTTTGAAATGCACTTATAAAGTACATTACAGCAGGCAATTGGCCTAAACTCAGTCACATTGAGAGGAGACTTAGTTTTAGGAACCAATGTAATCGAGGTTGAATCTATTTCCTTCAAAAGCTTGCCAGTTTGCAGAAAATTCAATACAACCTTGCTTACATCTTCACCCACTATGTTCAATCTTTTCTTGAAGAAATTGCTCCCTAATCCATCAGGACTAGGTGCTTTATTCTCATTTATGTCAAACATAACTTTCTTTACTTTCTGCAAAGTAAAATCACTTGTTAAAGTGTCAGACATGGCTGTTGTGATCAGGATCCCAGATTGGACAACATGGTTATTAACATGTGATCTTTAGGTGGCAGCAGTACCCAGTAATGCATCATAGTACTCCAAGAAAGCCCTAGGAATGTCAACCATATCGACCTGTGTGCCCTGTATATCTTGAATAGTGTAAATCTTGTTCTGCATTTGTCTTTTCCTGAGAGCTCTATGAAAAATGGCTGTGTTCTGATCTCCTTCCATTGACCATTCCACTTTTGCTTTCTGTTTCAAGAAAGAAAAGTAAAGGTCCTGAGCTAGCAGCAACTCTTTTCTAGCCACATTTTCATTTTCTCTAGCAACATTGTCAGTTGGCTTGTTGTGGAGAGCAGTCTGACATTTGTCAAGGTTTTGCTTTGCCAAATTGTACTGGATTTCAACATTTTAAACTCTATTTTTGCTCAAAATGATCAAGCATCTCTTGACTTCCTCCAGCTTCTGCACCACACAATACATTGGAGTTCCTTGAACATGCTTCTGCCATGCTTGGGAAACAACACCTGCAAACTCAGTTCCATTGCTCCACATATTAAAATACCTAAAAGTTCTCTTGCCTCATGTAGGGAATATTTCATAAATCAACTTTGGGCCCCACTGTGATCATACAATTAAGCATGGTGGCGTCCAAAGGGAAAGAAGGTAGAGATAAAAGAGTCGCCAACAAGTTTAAGGAACATGTAAATCGTTCATGGGTGTGAAGGTTACACCCCATTCATAATTACGGAGATCGCTAACTCCATAGTGGTCCGAAACCATGACTGGATATTCAGAGATGATGTACGAATCCAACCTAAAAGAGACTGAACCCGCCCTAAATCAGCCTCTACTAAATTCTTATGATATTCATGTGTGCTTCCTGATCAACATACATAAAACAAGTTAGTCCTAAACCTATTTAAACTATGTTGGTTGAATATTAATGCACAAATAAATCTATTATTGGCGATCATTTGAAAAAATCATATTAGACCTAAAATCAAATTATTAGTTATCTTATTAGACGTGATTCAAGTACAAATTCCCTTTAAACCTGCACGAAAGGGCGTGATCAAGCAATAACAATAATTATGAATAATCAAGCAACATATTATAATTGACACAACAAATCATCATCATAATAACAAAGCAATATCTCCAAAATAATATTAGCAAGATCCTAGGCATGACTTTAAACGGATTAATAACAAACCCTACCATGTCACTAAATAATAAAAATCAAAGCTTTAGCCTAAGCATGATACTAGAAAGCAACATGATATAAGCAATATCAATTAACACCCTAACATGATACTAGAAATCAAAATCAACATCCTAACATGATACTAGAAATCATAAAGACATCCTAACATGATACTAGGAATTAAAATAATAGTCTAAGCATGATTTCTATATCAAAGGAATAAGGATTGTAGATTTACTCACTTTGATGTCTCGTATCTCTTTTTATCAAAACAATACACACGTTAGAAACTTCAAGAAAAAAATAAATCAAACTAAGTAAATAAATCAAATAATAATTGAAATAGAGTTTTGAGACCAAACCCTCAAAACTATCAACCTTTCACGTCAAGGTCGAAGGACACTACGAGAAGGGCTTGGACTATTCAAATCTCGCAAAGGTCGTATGATGTGATGTGTTTAGGCTAGGCTAAGAAAGAGAGAGAAAAGCTTAAAGCTTAGAGAGGGGGTTAGATGATCATTATTGGTGAATGAAAACGGAGGAAAACGTCCCTTTTTATAGGGAAAAGATTAGAAAAAGAGGCAGAATCCGACTCGGAGTAAAACGCCTTTCATCGCATGGCGATGGTTTCATCGCGTCGCGATGCTTATATCACTGCGCGATATTAGAATCGCCGTCCGATGATTCCATCGCTACGCGATGCTTTTCAAAAGATAAGGTCCGTACGGAATCTGACTTCCAACCAAATTGGGTCAGTCGAATGTCTGTACTTATCCCTATTTTATCAGAATTAATTTATTAATGTTTTATCCGATATAAAATTCTTAAACTTTATCGTTTCAAAAATAGGATAAATTAGAACCTTCTAGAGGATTCCAAAATATAATAATCAATCCTAAGGGATTTAGGACTCAAAACAACATTCTGGAGAATTCTAGAAACTTATGATAAATCCTAATGGTTTTAGAAATACAGTTAAGATAAATGGACCCTCAACCATGATCATTGGGTCCGCAGATAAGGCTCGATTTGGACCCAGTATAGTATTTTAGTCATAACTTCTTTATAACTTGTATTTGGGCTTATAATATATCGTTGGAAAGATTTTTTCAAACCCTATCTAACTACACAATCATTGGACCATGATTATGGACAAAAACAAACTGATTTGGACGTTTTTATAAAAAGGATACGAAAAGAATGATTTTAAGTACACGAAATGAATTATTTTGTGTTTAAAACATTTAAAGAGAGGTTAGAAATATGGTCAAGGCTAAAGGAAATTCACGTGACTCTTCAAATCTTCCCTTACTCGATAGTCAAAGACGTGAAAGGTACTCATCACGGGGTTTGGTTTTTTGGGAGACGTAATTAGGCGTCTACAAAAGCCCCCACTTTGACTGAGTTTGGAGAAACATAAGTTTCGAAAACAAAAGTCAAAATATTGATAGGGACAGAGAATGATTCAGAACGCTTGGCGATTCTAGATAATTCTTTTCAACGCCGATACGTGCAAAAAATTGCTAGTTATACAAATAAGGGAGATAGAAACGCGTATCTTGCACCGTCGAGTACACGCATCTTGTCTGATCTAATTTGTTTGACAACCTCCACAATGTTTCGTGAACGCCGTCAAAGACAGCATTGCTTCGCTATCTTCAGTTGTAGTGACAATCTTCCAAACCCTAGGGAACATCGTCAAAGGTGACCGTGCTTCGCCATCTTCAGTTTTGTGGCCATGCTTTGCCACGGCTGTGCTTCGCCGCCATTATCGTCGTTGTGGCTATGCTTCGCCATGGTAATGCATCGCCGCTGTTGTTGTCGTTGTGGCAGTGCTTCGTCGCTTCATTGTTCTTGTGGTCGTGCTTCGCCACTGTTGACAATCTCCTCCATGCTTCGGGACATCGTCGAAGACCGCAGTGTGTCGCCATTTTAAAAAATCTTACCATTGCTTCGACGTGACCAATTAATACTGACAACCTCCACACCCTAAGGAAAGCTATCGAAGATCTCAATGCTTAGTGATCCCCAAATCTCGCCAATGCTTTAAGCGGGGTTAACCCATGCTTCGCTATGCTGAATATGTGCTCCTCCAGTGCTTCGGTGGACTGCACCAGTGTATTGGTGCGATGAATTGTGCTCTGCCAATGCTTCGGCGCGTTTAAGTGTAACGAGCCGATGCTTAGGCGCTTGTGTATTTTGATGAGCCAATGTTTAGGCGCTTAAGTCATTGAAATGATCGTCATCAAACCGATCATCAACCAAACTTGTAATCGGGCCGATTACTAATCAAATCAATTGATAAGAGGCTAAATGGCGCACCTAGGAGCCCAAACATTAAATGTAGTCTGCATAATCCATTTATGGGATCCACAGAGTTTGACGCTAGCTGTAGCAGGCGCATCGCGCAACTTCAGGCTTCATCGCGCCGCGATGGGAGTATCGCATTGCAATATTTTCATCGCTCGGCAATATTTTTTCATTTTCCAGATTTGAACCCCTTCTTCTTCCTTTTTCCGGGGTTGCTCGTAATTTATTCATTTTTGCCGAAAACTTCAAAGTCTTTGTTCTTGGTCGTTTCCCAACCAAATCGCTTCAAACTGGTTGCAAATCGACGCTCTTCCATCCTAATTTGCTGATCTAGAAATGGTACTCCGGTGCTTTGTCCATATGAGTCCCCGGGCTCTTTTGCAGCTGGGGTGTCGTCTCAGTTTGCTGGTGGGACGTATGAGGTTTACTCATCGTCGCAGCAGGAACAACCTACTTCTTTTGCTGGCGGAGGTACTCAATGGGCTGGTCCTACCATTACCATTCCGACGACTAGTGATGCTGGTCAGGGGCTGGCCTCGCGGAGTGTAGTGTTTTATGATGCATTCGGTGTTCCTCGTCCTCTGGCACCGTAGTTGTTCTTGTGTTTATTCACTATGTAGGACTTTGCTTATGTTTATCTTGAGGTTGACCCAAGGTTTAGTGTTACTCAACTCATTGTGTGACTCAATGTGTTTAAATCAACTCGACTCAATGCGTTTTGACACATGTGTAGACTCAACTCGATGTTATGCGACTCAACGTGTATACATGACTCAACTGTGTTTGTGTGACTCGAAAATACAGAAAAGCAAAAAAATTCCGTCATTTTTTGTGGAGGGTATCGACTTTCTCCCGAAAAGAAAGACGTGAAAATGAAAAGAGGTAGAGTGTCGGTGAAAGATGAAGGTTTTGAACTTTCCCAAATGGAAAAAGAGATGAAAAGAATGAATGAAGCGATGGTGCATGTTTAATGAGCTTAATCAAGCGTATGCGTTGATGTTGTATCTCGTGGTGCAAGGATTGTAGCATCCTAGACTATCTTAATTAATGGTTCGGTAATGAAAGTATTTGGGTAACTTAGGCGCGGAGGCTAAGTACTTCACACATTGTGATGCAATGATGATTATGATAATGAGTGATTCTAAGATGACAAGGCGTGCTTCAAAGTTGTGTCAAGATTCCATGACAAAGGGTTCCTAAGGGAAGTATCATTTGGCTATGTATTTGTGACGTGTATGAAAGTGATGCTAAAGTTAGGCTGCAAAAGCTAAGGGTGTGGAAAAATATTTTGTGTGGAGCCTAATGAATATTTTGAGAAGAGCCAAATGATGGTGACTATTAGCCTGGGTAGGCTAATGAAGTAGGGATCAAGCCCCCAAGTCTAACTCTAAATGGATAAGGGATGAGCATTGGAGATCCCTTGATATGATCATGCATGAATGTAAATATGAATGTGATGAATGCATTTTTATTACGGCCGCACCCCAATGTGAGGTTGCCTACGTATCCGTTAGAAATCAGGCCGAACGTAGCTCTAGCCGAACCTTGCACAAGTGTGTGTATGCCTCAAAGAGGTCTTTCAAGGGTTGTGATGGGGTTAGGCTAAAGGTTGAAGAAAAGATAAAGGCTCAAGACCTAAAATAAGCCCTCAAGGTGTGCAACCTTGCATTTGAATCTTGGTGTTTGTATGCTTGAGGTTTCTCACTTTTAAATTTCTTTTGTTTATTTTTTGCATTTGAAATTTGTTTTTGAATTTTCTTTTGTATAAGAGTGGGCAATCTTGATCATGCGATCTATCATTCACTTGGCATTCATGTTTCTAGGCATGGTACCAAGCACTCGATAAGAGACGCAATCTGAGACGTGTTCGTATCAAAGACATGTTCATATCAAAGACATTGGAACACTTGCCCGACCTTTTGCACACTTTTATTGCATTTTGAACTTTTTTGTATTTTTTTTTTTTTTTTTTTTTGAACTTTCAAAATTTTGATAACTGTCACTCAAGCTTTTGTATTTGGCTTTGATAATTGCGTAAGTTACACACCATCCCATCCCAAGGGTAGGTAAATGTGGGTTGAAAAAATAAAAGGTATATCGTTAGACAGGGCTCAAAGTGGTTTATAAAGAAAGGGATTGTGTAATGAATGAAAAGGGTAAAGGTAATATGATGTGGCAACAAGGGGTGCCTCAAATCATTAGCATACCTTGTGCTTAGTTCGGCAATGATTTTTTGATTTTTTTTTTTTAATAAGTAAAATGCAATGTAATGGTCATATGCAAGGAAATAAATGCTCATTTTATTAAAATGGAAAGGGTGAAGATAAACTTATGAAATAACTCTAAGGAAGATGAAGGGTGCCTATGCTAGACTTATTAAGGGGAAGGGGAAAAACAAAAATAGGAAAAGAAGCATGAAATCTTTGTCATTGAAGCGCACCTTGTGCTTTGTGCTTATCACAACTCGGTCTTCTTGCCAGCAGCTGGGGGATGGGATCTTGTTTGCATTGATGAGATCTTGAATGAGGTTTTAAAACCTGTGACATTCATCTGTGGTATGGTCGTTGCCTCGATGGTACTTGCAATAGGAGTCGGGATTCCATTCGGGTGTTCTCTTTCCAGGGGGGATCTTGCATAGGCCCAATTGGAGTGATGATCCCTTGGCATGGAGTCGATCAAAGACGATATTGTAGCTTATTCAAATTAGGGTGAACTTTTTGTCTTGTTCCTTGGTCTTTAAAACATCTTTGTCAAGAGCCTAGATTTCATCGATGTAACTGCCATTTTGATGGAAAGAAGCGGAAGAAGGATTGTTGTTCTTCCTGCTCTTGCCATTGTCGGGCCATTGTTATTAATCTTTGCTTTCTTATTGCTCAAAGGAACATGAAGACAATTTGAATCTATGAAGTCTTGAATGTGATTTTAAGGGTGAAGCACTTTTCGATGGTGTGACCGTGGCCTCTATGATATTTGCAATATGAGTTTGGATCCCAATTGGGAAGCCGTTTCTCAGGTACTAGATCTTGGATTGGACCAATGGGATGATTGAGACCTTGACCATGGAGATAATCGAAAGCTTCATTATAAGTCATTCCTATTGGTGTGTATTCATCAATGGTTCGTTTTACCCGTGGCTTAGGAGCATTGAGTTTTTCCTTAAATCCTTGATGGGAAGAAGGAGTAGGAGGATACTCGTTCTTTTCATTCTTTCGATCCTGACGATGAGAGTTTTGTTCAATGACCATCATCCGATTCTCTAGGCCTTCCACCATATTCAAGAACATGGCAACGATATCTCACAGTTTATGAACGTCTTCTTTTAGAATTGACGAGTTTTCCCTGGTAATACTTAAGAAAACTTCTTCTTGATTAGCCATTATTATGAACCTTTTTTTTTTTTTTCTGCGTCGAATCGATCTATCAAAGAGTAGTACTTGAACAAAGGTGTTGTCTTTGATTAAACGCTCTTCTCTCCTTGAACAAACGCTGTGGAAAGGGAAAACATGGTCACTCATTGTCAATTACTTGACTCAAACTCGATTCAGCATGCATAGGTGTATGAGGTGAATGATATGTATGGGGAATGCAAGTAAGATGAGAGAATGTGGAAAGTTTTATAAGAAAGAAAGTGTAAGGTATGTGATGGTGTAAAAGGAAAGAGTGTATTTGTGGAAAGAAGTGGAAAAATCCAAGAATAGAATAGACCCTCAACTCAAATCATGGAAAAGAAGACTTATGCATGGACCTTAAGACATGCTCATAATGTGAAAAAAGTATGTACAAATTGTGTGAAGACTTGTGAGTGTACGTGATATGTTCGAGACTCGTGTCATGACCATGTGACTAGACATGTGGTTAGACTCATATAAGACCAAAGAAGATCTTGTTTATTCATTAAACCGGTTAATTATGAAAATTAGACTTGACACGAAAAGAAATAAAGAAGGTTGGACGCTACTTAAAAAGAACTCCTAAACTGGACAAGCTGTGGTATTTCGAAACATACGCCAAATGATAGATAAAATCCAGTGCTACAGATATATAGGTGGCATAACATGTAACTCTTTCTAAAACTCCGTCTATGATCTATAGGTTTATTGCCTCCTGTAAGGAAAATTTCAAACATTAACTTTGAGCCCCACTGTGATCATGCATTTAAGCATGGTGGCGTCCAAACGGAAAGAAGCTAGAGATAAAAGAGTCACCAACAAGTTTTAGGAACTTGTAAACCGTTCACGGGTGTGAAGGTTACACCCCATTCACGGTCACGGAGATCGCTAACTCCATAGTGGCTCGGAACCATGACTAGTTATTCGGGGATGATGGTATGAATCCAACCTAAAAGAGATTGAACCCGCCCTAAATCGGCCTCTACTTTATTTTTATGATATCATGTGCACTTCCCAATCAACATACATACAACAAGTTAGTCCTAAACCTGTTTAATCTACGTTGGTTGATTATTAATGCACAAATAAATCTATTATTGGCGATCACTTGAAATTAAAATCATATTAGACCTAAATTCGAATTATTAATTATTTTATTAGACGTAATTCAAGTACAAATTCCCTTTAAACCTGCAAGAAAGGGCGTGATCAAGCAATAACAATAAATTATGAATAATCAAGCAACATATTATAATTAACACAACAAATCATCATCATAATAACAAAGCAATATCTCCAAAATAATATTAGCAAGATCCTAGGCATGACTTTAAACGGATTAATAACAAACCCTACCATGTCACTAAATAATAAAGATCAAAGCTTTAGCTTAAGCATGATACTAGAAAGCAACATGATATAAGTAATATCAATTAACACCCTAACATGATACTAGAAACCAAAATCAACATCCTAACATGATACTAGAAATCATAAAGACATCCTAACATGATACTAGGAATTAAAATAATAGTCTAAGCATGATTTCTATATCAAAGGAATAAGGATTGTAGATCTACTCACTTTGATGCCTCGTATCTCTTTCTATCAAAATAATACACACGTTAGTAACTTCAAGAAAGAAATAAATCAAACTAAGTAAATAAATCAAATAATTATTGAAATAGCGATTTGAGACCAAACCCTCAGAACTATCAACCTTTCATGTCGAGGACGAAGGCAACTACAAGAAGGGCTTGGAGTATTCAAATCTCGCAATGGTCGTATGATGTGATGTGTTTAGGCTAGGCTAAGAAACAGAGAGAAAAACCTAAAGCTTAGAGAGAGGGTTAGATGATCATTGTTGGTGAATGAAAACGGAGGAAAACGTCCCTTTTTATAGGAAAAAAATGAGGGAAAAGATTAGAAAAAGAATCAAAATCCGACTCGGAGTAAAACGCCTTTCGTCGCGTCGCGATACTTATATCGCTACGTGATATTAGAATCACTGGCGATGATTCCATTGCTACGCGATGCTTTTCAGAAGATAAGATCCGTACGGAATCCGACGTCCAATCAAATTGGGTCAGTCGAATGTCCGTACTTATCCCTATTTTATCAAAATTAAATCTATTAAAAACACATATTTTATCCTATATAAAATTCTTAAACTTTATCTTTTCAAAAACAGGATAAATTAGAACCTTCTAGAAGATTCCAAAAGATAATAATCAATCCTAAGGGATTTAGGACTCAAAACAACATTCTAGAGAATTCTAGAAACTTATGATAAATCCTCATGGTTTTAGAAATACAGTTAAGATAAATGGACCCTCCACATGATCATTGGATCCGCAGATAAGGCTCGGTTTGGACCAAGTTTAGTATTTTGGCCATAACTTCTTCGTTATAACTCGGATTTGGGCTTATAATATATCGTTGGAAAGGATTTTTCAAGCCCCATCAAACTACACAATCATTGGACCCAGATTATGGACCAAAACAAACTGGTTTGGACGTTTTTATAAAAAGGATACAAAAAGAATGATTTTAAGGACACGAAATGAATTATTTTAAGTTTAAAACATTTAAAGAAATGTTAGAAATATGGTCAAGGCTAAAGGAAATTCACGAGGCTCTTCAACTCTTCAACTGACTCGATAATCAAAGACATGAAAGGTACTCATCACTGGGTTTGGTTTTTTGAAGAGACACAATCAGGTTTCTACACCTCCCATTTGATCGTCATACACAGATATAATCCCCGGCCAATGATCAAAATCACCCTCATTGCCAAAGAACATTTCTTCTTGTCTGAACAGGTTATCCCATTTGTCATTTCACATTCCCCTGTCTATTTTAAGGAAAACCCTGGCATCCCCACATTGCTTGTTATTCCAAGTGAAGAAGTTTCCTCCATACTTCATATCATAAAGACCACATTTCTTAATACAGTCTCTAAAATCAGCCATGTCTTTCCATGTTACAGCAGCACCTATCCTCTCTTTTGCCTCTAGAATACAATTGAAGTCACCCATGACAATCCAAGGATCATTAATGGAGACACTTAGAGCCATCAAATCATTCCACAAAGGTATTATTCTTTCAGAGTTAGCATTAAAAGCATAAACAAAAGTGTAGTGAAAACTCTCATTTATACTTTTTGGCTTAACAAAGCAATGAATAATCTGACTAGTGCACATGAGAATGCTCAAGTCAAAATATTGAGATTTCCATGCCACCAGAATTCTCCCACCTGGATGCATACTATTATTGCAAGTAAAGTTCCAACCCTAAAAAACTTTAAGGTAAAATTTGCCCATATTATGGGATTTTACCTTAGTTTCAAGGAGCCTAACTAAGACACAATTGTTAGCAGAAATTACCTGCCTTATTTTCATTTGTTTGCTTAGCAAGTTGGCTCCCTTCACATTCCATGACATGATTCTATCCATGACTGTCAGAGGGTATTCCACCTTCTGCAGAACGAGAGTCACCTGGTATCACCTCATCTTGTATTTCATCAAGGGCAGCAAATGCATTATGAGTGACAATTGCTTCCACCTGACTAGGACTTTTCCTAGCTTAATCCAGGATAGGCTGAAAAGAATTCTCAATATGTACTTCTCCAGGAACACTATTCTCCTTGTTTTCCTCATTTCCCTGTCTGTTTTGTTACCTTCTTTTCTTTTTCTGTATCTTTTTCCACCTGTGCCTTTGAGTTCTTCTTCCTCTTAGGCACCCATTTTGTTGTCTTTTTTCCTCTACAATCTTTAGATGTATGGCATAGTCATTTTCATGTGACACAAAGAACAGGTCTCCATTCATATGTCAGATTCACCATCACCCTATTGCCCTTCTCATTGACAAAAGTGATAGAATCAGGCAATTTCTGGTCAAACCCAACTTCTATCATGACTTTAGCAAAGTGCAGCTTCTCCTTTCATGCAGTAGCCTGATCCATTTTCACCCAATTCCCAAATTTACAAACAATCTTCCTCAATGATTTTTTTTCCCCAATATTTTAGATCAAGTTTACCAAATCAGGTGTCCAAGGTTTCAGAAATACAGGTTTATTGTCAAAAAGATTTTAGGTCCAGCAATCACCTTATCCCGATTCTCCATAGTATTAAATCGAACTATGAAGATCCCTTTCTCCTTCAAAGACACCTTATCAACACCCAGATTCCTCTAAATTCTTCGAAAGAAACCCTCCATTACAGTCAATGGCGGATTAGCTCCACAAATGAAGCAAACAACAGAAGAATTCTAATAATCAATTTCTTCTTGAATATCCTCTAAATAAATTACAATATCTGAAATATCATCAATCAAATTCATAAACTTATTTCAAACTCCCCCATTATCATCATTATCCCCAATTTTCACCATCAAAAGAATGCTGTAAATTCCTAGAAATAGAATTTGCATGTAAAACAAAGGGTTGAAAATTGGCAATACCTTGCTCCATGATCCCTTTGAGCTAGCTTTTACAGTACTAACCCAGTCTGAGAAAGTCCTTCGAACATGTTCTCGTTGCTCCAATTCCTCCAGAGAAGCTTTTGGTGATAGAATTGGCTCTTCCAGAAATTGTCGATTACTGGGTTTGACGACATTTCCTCCTCCAAATCTTTCAATGCTTCCTTCGATTTCTTATTCCTCTTTGTTTTTTGTGTGATTTTCTATTGTTTCTGCACAATTTTCGAGGAAGATTGTGCTCTAGTGCCCACTGCAATGGCGGTCCAAGCTCACGCGCTTAGACAAGGCTCACACGCTCTCTCTCTCTCTCTTTCTCAGCAGGATATTGCAAGTTAAAAAAAAAGAAAGAAATAACATGTTAAAAAAGGAAAGAAAACATACATATGTTGCAAATAATTTGTAGTTTTTCATTTACGGTAAATGTGACAAATTAAATAAATTAAAGGATAATTTGATGTTTGGTACCACCAAAATACCCTACTTTGATTTTTGGTACCTATTTAAAACTAGTTTTTATTTTACAACCTATCAAATTCTAAAAGTATAGCTATTGGTACCACTTAACGATTTTCGTTAGGGTTCTGTTAGTGGTTAGCTAATTAATTTTTTCTCGTTTTACGTGCTGAAAAATGTTCGATTAAAGTTTTAGAGGTCATTTTATTCCTTAGTGTTCCAAATTGAGCCCGGAATTGGTAAAAAAAATAATTTAAGTTCCTTGTTTTGTGTGTGATAAAATATATCGATTTGCATGTCATTATCATTTTTAGCCGTGAAAATTGTTCGGGTAAGATTTTGGAGGACGGTTTAGTTCTAAAGGGACCAAGTTGAGGTAGGAATTTGCCAAAAAAAAAAACGTGAATGCCTCGTTTATCAAAAATTGTTTGTTAGCTAGTCAAACCTCTTGATTTACCAAAAAAAAGTGACCATTATAGAATATAGTTTATTTAGCAATTGGCCATTGGCTGCTGGCGGTTTACTTGGCTGGTCTGACTAGCTGTTTGTATTGATTTCTTATGTTGGTTGTTTGAGTGTTGGCTCTTATTAAATATGTTTGGTACAGTTGATTGTTAGCTGCTAGGTTTTTTTTTTTATTTTTTTTTTATTTAATATAAAAATGACATTTAAGAACATTGGTATATTTTAAAATCTTTATTCAGTAATATACAATAATATGTATTCACAATTTATAAAACATATATATAATTGTTATTAAAAGCTCAAGATCATTGAACACAAATTTTTTATAGGAAATCCGACACCAAGATTGGTAATTGATTTCTAACTTTGTTGATAATTTGTAAATTTGAGATGGTGTCGTGTGACACTTCATTACAAAAATCTGGCTTGTGGTTGAATAAATATCAAGCTATGGAAAACAAAAAGTTCTTTTTAATAAACTACTAATTTATTTAAAAGCTAAGTTAGAAAAATTAAAGAACATAATTATCTAAGATACTGTACTCTTATAATGTTGATACGCATTCTTAAGTGCCCTGAACTTAGCTGCTATCTTATCATAATCTGGCAATTTGGGGTGTACATGACCTGGTGAAGTCGAGTTCCTTATACCGTCCAACTCCTCTACAGTCTGAGGTATCGATCGAATGATTTCTGTACTCTGTAACTCTATTTTATTCCCTGAGGCATTGTTGCAACACTAACATATGGTGCAACTCGTGCACGAGCCATGGTACCACATTCCAATTCTTCGATTTCTTCACCTTCAACTTGGTAATCGAGTGCATTTCCTAGCCCTTGTTCGTCGCTAATAGACCTATAATCATCATAATAATTCTCACATTGCAAATCATCTACAGTTTTTATTATCTCCCTAGATACTGATCTCCTCATCCTTTCACTAGTAATCATTTCGCCGTCTTTACCCCTTGTATCACTATAACTCATAACATTGTCATACAAGGAGGAAAAACTGAATACAAAGAATCTTTGATCCTGATCGATGCAGTGAAATTCATCTTTCATAGGCAACATGAACTCTTGTACATCGTCTAGGTAAATGATCGAATCCTCAGAATACTGAACTGAACTTTCTGAAGAACTGCTAGCTTTATCACTATTGTTTGGTTTCGTAACATCAATTGCACCTGTTTGATACTCATAGCAAGTGATCAGTCTTGCAATGGTCTGTACTTCTTGCAACGGAGTTTCGATAACAAGATTGGGAGATGGCAACACAATGGAAAAGTTAGTAGCAGGGCTACTTTGTTCTTTCTGTTCAACTTCATAAGATTCAGTAACCTGCAACAAAGTACTTTTTATGTTATTACATTTAAAATCACAAGCAAATTTAATCGCATTGATACGTAATGAGTATAGGAATCTATAGTTTGTGCTTGAAAATACGGCTTGTATTCAAGTGCTAACACCTCTGGTTTAAAGAAAAAACTTCTCACAATTTCATCCAACAATCTGTTCTTTTCAAATTCAGGATTTGACCGTGCGATTAGTTTTTCTTTCACCTGCAATTTCACCCAACTAATGCTTAAAAAATAGTAAGAAAATAATTGCAAAGTTTCTAGGTAATAAAAGAATAGAGTTAACCTGAAGGTTAACAAGGTTTCCAGGGTGCAATTCAACTGCACTGGTTATAAGCTTCGGACCATAGCGGTCCCTGAAGAGCTTCCTGACATGCCTAAGCTCTGGAACATCACCACATCTTGCTGAGGCAAAGATGAGTGTCGAAACAGCCTCGTTTAAATCATTGGGAAGATCCCTTCAAAATACCAAAATGCAATGCAATGCTATATGGTTATATGGATAGTACTAAACTGCATTCCAAATATTACTAAAGATTATGTAAAGCGAAACTTAGCTACATCAGTAAAATAGAGATACATACTTGTGTCGACGAATGTATGAATAATTGAGTAGTATAAACTTGGAGAATTGATCCAACAGTTCATATAGAGCTACCATATTCTCATCCAAATATAATTGATCAAGCTGCATAAATTGAAAATTTTCTGCAATTCAAACTAAGTAATCCTAGAATTTGTTGATAAAATATACCAAATAGTAATGTTGCATACCCTGTTTAAAGCAATCTGTTCATAGCCATTCTTCAGAAGCTGAGCAATGTCTTCTTTTGACTGCCTTATAATGGTAATTTTTTTGTTCTTCAGAATCTTCAGACGACATCGAACTTTCTTGATCAACTTTTTACTGAAACATATGAAGTAAAAAAAATGAGCAAAAAGTTATATTACACTACAATGTACAAAAAAAAAAGACCAAATGAGTGTATTTTTGTATACCACTTGGAAGCTTTTCTCCATCCAAATATAACGTTCAACATTTTCAAGCTCAAGTTTAAAAATTGTGGAGAAAAAATATGGAAAAACTAATTTTCTTTAGAGTTCGTTCTGCTAATGTTGGTAGTGGAGAGTAACCAATTTTGCATGTAAATTATAAAGGACAGAAATTTGTTTTTACAGTACCTCTCAACTTCATTGGTCAAGTCCACTTACTATACCCACAACCCACAAACGGTTAATTTTATTAAATTAATTAATTTTATTTATCAAAAATTATTGCTAATAATATTTGAGGTGTTTTGAAAAATGGAATTTAAAAAATGTACAACTCTTTAAGAGCATGTGCAATGGAGGGGATTCATGAATCCCCTTAATTCTTCTCTCTCATTCTCTCCTTTTAACACATCATTTCTCTTTCTTCCACATCATTTTCCACTATCTCCATCCTCTTCCTCTTCCTCTTTCTTTATTTTTTCCCACAACAAAGGGGATTCATGAATCCCCTTCCTTTCTATTTATGCCCCACCAACTTCTATTTTAGATATTTGTAAATTTAATATGACAAATTATTATAATTAGATTAATGACAATTTTAATATATTACAAAAATGTACAATTAATGATAATTTAAAATGCATAATTAGTAAATAGAACGGTTGTCATGCATATAAAATAGTTAAAAAGGAACATTGCAATACATTATGTAAAAAGACAATTCATGAAATTCGGAAACATAAAAATACATTAAAAGCCGATAATTGAAAAACAAGAAACTAAATCATAAATACATTTTATTTATAAGGTGAGTTGACAAAAGTGCTCCCAAACCTAGCCCATATATGTTCCAGCAAATCAATCTTCAAAGATATATTAATTTGTTTGTCACGAAGATTATCTCGTGTAGCCATCATTGTAGCTAAATTTTGATCTTTATAACGCCCAAGGGTAACGGTGAAAGTTGTTGCTCTTCTCCTTGATGATCCTGCTAGATTCTCAGGTTGTTCGGTGGAAAATTCCGTTGGATCCCAATAATTCATGTAATTACCGCGCTCATCTTCTACAATCATATTGTGCATGATAATACACGCCATCACGATTTTCCATAGCATTTCGACACTCCATGCCAAAGCCGGATGTCTAATTATTGCAAATCGAGCTTGTAGCACACCAAAAGCACGCTTAACATCTTTTCTAATACTCTCTTGTTTGATTGTAAACAACTTCTGTTTAGGGGTTTGTGGGGAGGTAATAGCGGAAATAAATGTTGCCCATTTTGGATAAATCCCATCTGTGAGATAATATCCTTGGTTATAGGTATTTCCATTCACAGTGAAATTAACTTGTGGAGCTCGACCATTTAAAATATCGTCAAAGACGGGAGAACGTTGAAGAACGTTTATATCGTTGCATGTCCCTGGCGTGCCAAAAAAGGCATGCCAAATCCATAAATCCCAAGAAACAACAGCTTCTAAGATCACCGTCGCCCTTTTAGATCTTCCTTAATACATTCCTTTCCATCCAGCTGGACAATTTTTCCATTCTCAATGCATGCAATCGATGCTCCCCATCATGCCAGGAAAACCCCTTTCTTCCCCTTGTTTAAGGAGACGAACAAGATCTTCGGCGTTTGGCTTCCGCAGGTATTCTGTTGAGAATTCATGAATCACTCCATCAACAAAGTGTATAAGACATTCTCTTGCCGTACTTGCCCCAAGTTTTAGATACTCATCAATTTGATCAGCTGGGCAACCATATGCTAACATTCTCATTGCTGCAGTGCATTTTTGAATTCCAGAAGCACCCAGTCGCATTGTGGCATCTGGATGTTGTTGAAAAAATCTATCAGTTGCACTCAACGTATTCACTATCTTCATGAATAGAGGTTTTCGCATACGAAACCTACGTCGTAACTTTTCATCACCGTATAATGGATGGTCACTAAAGTAGTCTGTAACTAATCGATCATGTGCTCCTTCACGATCTCTTGGAACGATCCACCTTGACATTTTTTCACGTCGTGAACCATGAACTTCTTGTTCTTCTACATCAGTATTAACAACATATCTTACTGTATCCTCTATCACTTGTTGTTGTCGATTTTCCTCAATAGAATCTAACAACATGGAATCGCATATTTCATCACTAGAAGTAGAAGAACTAGAATCAAAATTCATTTTACAATTTTTTGATAATATTTGTATAAAACTGAATGTTAATATTTGTATGACAATGATAGAATTATATGTGAATGAAACTGGTCAATATATAGACAATATGATCCACATGAACTAAGTAATAATGCAAGAGAATATTTTGGTAACACATTTCAAAATTTGAATTATGAGATGTATTTCAGAAGATTAGATTTTTGCATGACAATAATCTATAGCTTTTCAGAGATATGTATGGCTTTACAGAAAAGTTGACATATGAAGTAGATGTATCAATGCATGAAGTGACTACACACTGAATTTTGTTTTTTGTTTTTTACCACTCCTAATAATAATAATTACAAATTAATAATAATAATAATAATAACAGTCATAATAATATTAATTATAATAGTAACTATTACAATATGATTAAACATATATTAAAAACATTAAAAGATAAAAACTAATACATTAAAAAAATTAAAATAAATTCAGAAATAAATAAAACATTAAATAAAACTAATACATTAAAAACATGAAATAAATAAAACATTAAAATAACATATAAGAAGAACAACTTCATAAGAACTTATTACTAAATTCCTCTCTAAGCTTCTTGTACATTTCTACCTCAAATTCATCAAGGTTAGGTTTCATCATCAACATATTTAACATTTTGAACTTCATATCCTCTTCCTTTTGCCTTTTCCTTTCTTCATCTCGCTCTCGTATTAAGGCCATCATTCGTTCTCCTTGGTCATACCTCTTGTCACTACATTCTTCAAGAGTTGTATTGAACGAATCAAGGTTTATAGATGAAGACGAAGAACCAGATTCCATTGCTAGTCTCTTCGTCTTTTTTATGCCATCTGGTCGAGTTCGTGGTTTTCCACCTTCAACAGTTGGTGATTCTGGTTCAGATCGTTTTGCACTTCCTCCGCTTTCAGCAAGTAATTACATGACCTCATTCGGATCCCATTTTGGAAAATTTTGCATAACTTCAAAACAATGTTGCAAATGGAAATGTTTACCTTTGTTCGCCATTGCAAAAGCATTATGTGCACGTTTTTCAACATCTGCATCTGATTGTCCACTCTTTGGATGTCGTATCTCGTAACTGTATACCTCTACCCACTTGTTCACATTCGAATTAATGTGATCCCAACGTTGTTGTAAGGACTTAGTATTCCTCGTCTTCTAGAGCTCATCAGGATTTGCAAGTCGTGCTTGTTCGTACAATTTACAAGCTGCAGACCAAAATCCATTCTTAGTCCTTTTTGTATTTTTTGTAACATTTCCCCCGGCGTTGATGTAAGCCGAAACAAGTGCGTTATCCTCTGCTACACTCCATGAATTCCTCGGCATAGCCTCTCCAGGAGAAACTTCAACGACAACATCATCAAGATCCTTTAGATGTTACGCTTCTCGTACTTCTTCAGTTGGAGTTGCGTTCGTGCTACCTTCTCCTCCCGGAGAATGGTCCATAAGTTGGGTAAAATGTTGAGACATGGGAAATTATGGACTATGTTGAGAAAAATGTTGGTGATATTGGGTTGTATCATTTGGATTCATTGGTCTTAGTTGAATACCAAACCATTGTAAGGCAGCTTGAAATTGAGGATTATTGAGGATATTTGGATCAAAAGGATGATTATTTGAATTATTTTGAGAGTTTGGAATATTTTGAAAATTCAAATTTCTTCTTAAATTTGGATTATTTCGATCCATATTGAAAGATAAAATGTAATGACTTAAATTGAATATGAGTGAGATTAATAGGAAAAGGAGAGAAAATATGGAGAAAATGAAGATTTTGAAAATACGGCAAATTTAGGTTCATTTTATAGAGAAAAAAAAAAATATAACCGTTGGTGTTTTTTTTTTAAAAAAAAATAAGTTACAGTTTTTTTTTATTAGTGTTTGAATAATTATAACCGTTGTAAATGTCAACCAATTCGAAAGCAACAAATGTCAGCAAAAGCAACCAACAAGTGGGCCCCTGCCAGCCCGAGCGGCCAGCAGGAAGCTGCCACATTGCAGCTGCTGGTCCAACTTTTTTTTTAACTTTTTTTTTTCCTTTTTGTTTTTTTCCCCACCTTTTCCAATCCCCTTCCCCATCTTTTCTTCCTCTTCCCAAAGAGGATTTACCATATTCCTCTTCTTAAGAGGACTCCCCATTTCACCTCTACAATGAAGGGGATTCCTCTTAAGAGGAGAGAGAAGGCTAAGAGGAGGGTGAATCCCCTCCATTGCACATGCTCTGAGAGAAGTTCACCGCTCCTCTCATTATGAACAGTAGAACAGTATAGTGACGGTTATACCCTCGGTGTTTTGAGTTATTTCCGGTTTTATCTTTTCCTTTGTTCTTCAGCGCTTTGCCGAACTTAATATCCCTTTTCTTCTGTCCTTCCTTTCTCTTTCTTCTTCTTTACTCATTCTGAACTCCTTTTCTTTGCTCTTTCCCCTTTTCTCTCTCTTCGTTTCATTTGATTCAATCTCAATTTCATCCTCCATACATACTTATTCTCTTTCTCTCTCCTCCATGAGCAGCGTATTGAGCTTTCTTTCTCTTCTTGATTTTTCGTTTCCCCTCTTCCTTCCCTTTCATTTGTCAGACAACCACCAGGTACATTGTTTTTTTTTTTCTCATCAATGAATTAATTATAAACTTGGATTTTCGATTAGGTTTACGGCGCTGTTTTTAGTTTTGCATGTTGGGATTTAGTGTATATTGGTTTAATTTTTTGGGATTTAGTATAGATTGGTTTAATTTTTTGTGGATTGTTTGTAGTTTTAGTTATTTTTTAGGTTTTTTGTTTTTTGGCCATTGGGGTATCGTTGAGGATTTATTTGGTCGATTTGTGTTCGATTTTTTGGGTTTATTTGTTCGATTGGTTTTCGATTTTTTTGGGGTTTATTTCTATTTATTTTTTGATTTTTTTGGTTGAATTTATTTGGGTCGCTTCAATTTTATGTGATTTGGATCTAAGATCTTGATGTTTTTGTGATGATTATGATTTTTTTTAGTGAAGAAGAAGATGGTGAATCCTTCAATGGCGGAAAAGAAGGAGGAGCTTCTTTGATTATTGAGTTGAATGATAAATCGATGGTCACTGGTGGTGGCGTGGAAGATGTTTCAGTCAAAGGTAAGCCTTTTAGTTTATTTGCATGTTCTGATTTTCTTAATTAAATTGGATTTCTTGGGTTAAATTTAATAAACAAATGAACAATAATTAAGAAAACGGATAAAGAAGTAATACCCTTGAAGCGTGCTTCGCTCGCAAACCGAGCTCTTACTTCGAAGCTATTAAGCCTCACAAGCGTGACGGCCTCCAACGGCTCGTACCCACGACCCGACCCGAACGATCTTCGTCTCGAGGGTTAGTCGAGACTTGAACAAGTATAAAAATAAAGTTTTACAAACTTAAAAGTTTTCTCAATAATAGAGATGCCTTTTTTAGTTCCACTCAAGTTGTCTTCCCAAATGCCCAATAATGGGGTATTTATAGGGAATGGCAACTTGTATCCCCATTTCATGATCAATGTGGGATAGTTGCATTTTTCACTAATTTATTTAATTCCAAAATAAATTATAAAACAATGCAATTACAAATCAACAAGTGGCATGAGGAGAGGAGGGGTTAGGTGATGACCATGACCATGGGGGGACCATTACCTTGTTCGCCAAGGCATGGCTCTAAGCCTTGGTCCCCACTCTCCTCAAACCGGCTTCAAGCAAAGGAGTGAGCTGGCAGCCCACCTTGCTGCCTAGCTAGCACTGCCAGCTTGTGCACAGCTAGCATGGCCAGCACGCACCAGCCAGTACAGCTAGCACATGCGTGCTGCTAGCGAGCCACGCATGCTGCTCGCTGCTTGGTGCTGCCATGTGAAGGCACGCACGCACGCAAGCAAGCAAGCACATCATGCTGCTGCTGCCAAGGCCTGCACGCACACGCACACACGCACAGGCCTAGCCATGCGATAGTGTTGTGCTATGCGTAGGCTGTGCGAGGGCTTGCGATAACACCTAGGCACACAAGCACGTATGCTGCGGTGGTGCTGTGCCATGTGAAGGCACACACACACGCAAGCACGCTGCTGCCATGCGAGGCACGCAAGCACCTAGTGCTAGCGATGTTGCTGCCTTGTGCGCTTAGCACGCATGGTGCGCTAGCACACACATGATGCGCCAGGCTTGCACCTAGCCATGCAAAATGCATGCTAGATCGAGCTAGCCTAGCGTCCACATGGCTAGGCCAATGTGATGCTACGGCTACGCCCGAACTTGTTGCTTGTTGATTTTGCGACGCTCGGTCTCGACGCCCTAGGCTCGATATCCGACGTCTATGTTCGTAAAACTCTAGTAACTCATCAAATCCTTCGGATTGATTCGTCTGTTCGGATCTGCAATTTGTTTGGGTTTGACCCAAAGGGTTTAGTCGAGCCAAAGCTGTAATATTAATTGCTCATTAATATTAATCGTTCGGAAGCGGCCTCCACGCAGGCATTTCGATCACTTGATCTCACTGAAGAATTAGCTTCCTGATAATTCTGAACCCTCTATCGGAATAATACACTTGTTGGAAGGACACCATTCCTTTCAATCTCCCACTTGTCCTTCCGGACAAATGTGCATACAGTGTATAGCCCATTTCCTGTGTCGCTTAATGTCTTTCATGAACTATAAGGTAAGAATCTTCGTCATCCTTATTACGTCCAGAAGTATTTCTCGATCTCCGAGTTCGACTGTCAAAAAGCAGATGATTTCTAAAATCCATCTGAGCACGGCCATGCATTTTCTCAGTCTCACTCTTCGAGCGGCCTTGTAAACAACAAAGACATATTACCTATTGTTAATAGGGGGACATTCCCAGTCTTGTACTGCAAGCCTCTCTTACTAAGAGGACTTAATTTCCCAAGTATTCCCGTTATAATCCCCAGTTACGGCGGACGTTTGACAACATCAAAGAGATTAGTACTCAAACAAGAGAACTTCCCAATACTCATCGTTGAGGAAACAA